CGTAGTCCACATTCGGTTCAGTCTACGAGACTGTGTTTGGAACCCTTTTGCTGAAGATGGTCGGGTAGGTATTTCGAGCAGATTAGAGGTTTAGCTATGGGGCAACGACTGGCGCCTACCTTGGCTATAGCCTTCATGTCTAAAATCGAAGCGCCTGTATTGGAAAGCCACCCCATGCTTTACTGTCGCTATATCGATGACTGCTTCGTGGTCTGCTCGACGCAAGAACAAATGGACATGTGTTTCGATCTCCTTAACACCCAATCGGAGCACATAAAGCTGACACGGGAAAAGCCCTCAGGAAGCTGGCTCCCATTTCTGAACATTCAAGTTAAATTGCAGGGTGGCATGCTTTCTACGAAATGGTACAGGAAGCCCAGCAACAAGAACATCATCGTTCACTGTCAGTCAGCCCACCCTTCACAGACCAAGCGAGCTGTTGTGAGGAACATGTTCCGAACAGCGGCTAGAGTTTGCACTGGAGAGGATGAGCGCAAGGAATCACTGGCGATTGCGCGTGAAATAGCTGAGCTCAATGGCTACGGGAAACCTCCGACCTCCCACAGAGCAAGAAATGGCGGCCCGGGCAACAGACCCGGTGGTAATTTCCTCAATGGCAAAATCCCATTTATGGTACCATTTATCTCTGAGGAAGTTAGCATTTCCATAAGGAAGTGTCTGAGGAGGTCGGGTTTAGAAAACACAGTTGCCATTTTAGATGTGCCACCCAATAATCTGAAGCATCGCCTCGTACGCAATCGGCTCTACGACCGCTCATGTACCACCCCTAATTGTGTGGTCTGTCCGACCGCTAGGGAGGGTGACGCAGCCGCCGCGTACGACGCTGCTCGCCGCGTGAGCGGCGTGATCTCATCGCCTGACGATTGAATTGACCGTCTCCCGTTATGACCCTGTCGTTTTTTTGCACATTGGCGGTCCACCTGCCCTCAACGCTCATTTATAGTATCCTAGAGGGCGCACTCATTCGCAAGCATGTTCTTCATCAAACTTCAGAGTTGGATTGAATATAATCACGCGCCAATTGGTGTCTCTGGTACGAATCGCGGACTCCGGATTTGCGCCGTACAGCGCGCCGGTTGACTGAGAGTGTTCATTATGAACAAACTGCTCAGTTCTGCCAGGGAGGGGGAAAATAGTGACGACCCATTATTTTTGCACCTTATTAAGTTCCTCTCCAATTAATGTGTAGAGCAACCCTAATTAGGTGTGAGCACAGAGGTCACATTATGCTGGGTGCACGTTTGTGTAAGTCGATTTGAGAGAGATTTAATTGGGGAATTACTACTACAAATATTTTATCAGTTAAGTGGAAGCAACCGAACAAATGAATAATATGTACCGTAGTTTTGTTGATAACATATGTTGACACTTCCTGAAAAAGACGATGGGGTAGGGGTCGAAAAAAATTCATACATATTAGGTTGTCTCATAAGTACATAGTGTCGCTTCTTTTTCAACAAAGATTTTTCATCTAAATCCCATGCTTTTACACCATTCATATACCATTCGAAAGAGAATTGTCTGCTCTACAAGATGCTATGTTCTCTTCCACCTCTGTTCCAGGTTTTCAAATTTTAGGCCTGCGAAATGGGAGGTCCAGCCGACAAAAATTGACCAAACCGACAACTAGCTCTAACTTTATTTTCCCTGGGAGAAATCAATCAATGATGTACCCTCTACTTACTCATGACCTCTTCTGAACATTCCACTCTTAGGTTGCCGAAAAAGCTTTGCCGTGTTTCTTTTCGAATTGGCTGACCGATAAGCCATAGCAATTTTCAAATTAAAATTGTTCCTCGTAAACGCCATTGTTTCATATCAAGTGGTGTTCCTTTTGTGAGCACTTCTGCTCTATTCGCTCATTTGTTTTGTTTTTATGTTTGTTGGGAATTAGTTCGAATTTTAGGTGTTTAGGAATAAGGTGTTTTATCCACGAAAGTGACCGCATTTCTTTGAAAAAATTATCCCTGAGAAGATGAGAAAATCAACCAGGCGTACATTCCTAACTTAGTCATGACTTGTTCTTTAAATTCTACTAGTTTTTCAATGTCTCGGCTATAAAAAAATTTCGACCTAGATCTCAGGTAATGGTGCTCGACCGTCGAGTTCTGGTTGAAAAACCAGGTCTGGAAATGGAACGACGCGACTTGTTGGGAAACCTAATAGTGTAATGTTAGAAGAGGTCATGCATAAGTAGAGGGTACATCATTGATTGATTTCTCCCAAGGGAAGATAAAGTTAGAGATAGTTGTCGGTTTGGTCAATTTTTGTCGGCTGGACCTCCCATTTCGCCGCCTAAATTTGAAAAGGGCGGAAGTGGTGTAGTGACAAGTGGCGCGCTTACCACGCGAGCGGTCCGGGGATCAAATCCTGGGTCGTGAGTCGCCCGGGCCAACCAAGCCTTCCATCCCTCCGGGGTCGGTTAATTGGTACCAGACTTGTCTGGGAGGATAAAAAGTTAGAGCTAGTTGTCGGTTTGGTCAATTTTTGTCGGCTGGACCTCCCATTTCGCAGGCCTAAAATTTGAAAACCCTGGAACAGAGGTGGAAGAAGAACATAACATCTTGTAGAGCAGACAATTCTCTTTCGAATGGTATATGAATGGTGTAAAATAAGGATTTAAAATAAAAATTTTCTGTTGAAAAAGAAGCGACACTATGTACTTATGAGGCAACCTAATATGTATGAATTTTTTCGACCCCTACCCCATCGTCTTTTTCAGGAAGTGTCAACATATGTTATCAACAAAACTACGGTACATATTATTCATTTGTTATGTTGCTTCCACTTAACTGATAAAATATTTGTTGTAGTAATTCCCCAACTAAATCTCTCTCAAATCGACTTACACAAACGTGCACCCAGCATAATGTGACCTCTGTGCTCACACCTAATTAGGGTTGCTCTACACATTAATTGGAGAGGAACTTAATAAGGTGCAAAAATAATGGGTCGTCACTATTTCCCCCTCCCTGGCAGAACTGAGCAGTTTGTTCATAATGAACACTCTCAGTCAACCGGCGCGCTGTACGGCGCAAATCCGGAGTCCGCGATTCGTACCAGAGACACCAATTGGCGCGTGATTATATTCAATCCAACTCTGAAGTTTGATGAAGAACATGCTTGCGAATGAGTGCGCCCTCTAGGATACTATAAATGAGCGTTGAGGGCAGGTGGACCGCCAATGTGCAAAAAAACGACAGGGTCATAACGGGAGACGGTCAATTCAATCGTCAGGCGATGAGGTCACGCCGCTCACGCGGCGAGCATCGTCGCGCGCGGCAGTTGCTGCGGCGATTTCTGTGTGGACCTTGGCTTTACCATCCATGTCCATAAGTTGGGGCTAGGTGACTGATAAGACCAGAGTGCTAGACATCAGTAAGCCAGCAAGCGTCACTTAAGATCTCCGCAGTGATTTAAGCCTCACAGTACAAAGCTTGTACCATGTAAAGGTTGTCCTTTTGAATTTAATTTGACTTCTTTATTAATCAGCTGCCTGAATTTCTATCAGAGAGTGATAATCTGGTTCAATCAGAAAGAATAATGTTCCAAGACACAGAGGAATGGTGAGGAAGGCTTCAGCGTAGGCATGATTGGAATAGTTTCCAAATGATGGCAAGAGACAGGATTCCTACTCCATGTTTCATGACTGGAAGCTTTATCTAATCTTATAATCCCCAATGGTTTGGATGCTGAATTCTAGCAACGCCGCCGCGACATGCGGCTGCGGCGGCTCGCGCGGCGACCTAGCGACTGCCACGAATGAATCGTCACGCACCCGGTCATAACTGCTGAAATGGGCACCTCCTTTTTGGAATAGATAGGAAGCGAAGTTCCATTGGGAATTGTGGAAGTTCGCAGTCATTCTTCGTTCAGCATTTCTACCATACTCCCCCCTCCCTCCCTTCTTCCTCCCTCCGTCTGCTAAACGAGGTTTGGAAAACAAAAGAAGTAAAGGAAGATGAGTCAGTTAGAATCAGAATCGGAACAAAGGCTAAATGGAGAAGGAGAAAGGTCTTCCCAAACCTAAAGTTTGCTCAACGCAATGATTGGCGCTCGCGATCTGTGAATCCTACTTCTACATGGTGAGCTCCATCTATATATTCAATCCGTCGAACAACAATCTGTACAGAGAAAAGTGAACAAAATCGGGATTTTGAAAAAAAGTCCGAAGATAGCTGATGGACCTCGGCCTCGTTCACATATCGCGCGAGCCGCTGCATAACCACACATGAATAACCCATAACCACTTTGTGAAATCAATTTATCACTGTTCAAAAAAATTCAGAGGTCAATCAGAAGTTCGACCGAAAATGGTTTGGTGGCAGGTGGCGTTGCTTACCCGCATGAGCCCGGATCAAATCTTGGATCGTGCGCCTTCTACGCCGACGCCTTCCATCGCTCTGTGGATGATTGGCACCACCCGTCTGACAGGATAAAAACACCGAAGTGGTCATCTCCCCAAGTAGTAAGTCCTCTCCGAATCGCATTGTCTAATATCCGATCTTAATTTTTTTTTTGCTAGTCCGAAGTATTGGCCACTATCGATGGCGGAGGTGGTATCGAGGCAACCTTACCACCTTACCCTTACCTTTACTTAATGTCGCGACGCCGGTGCGGCAAGCCTGGGGCAAGATGACGTACAAGTGGCTTGCAGCCCGGTGCCGTGATTTTAGATGATGTGCGGAGGGACACGCGCCTAGCTCTGCCTGCCACGTAGCTGCGGTCCTCATCCTCCGCTGCCCCATGATGTTGCCTTCCTGCTGGAAGTCCACTGCGCTTAGAAGAAGATGACACTGCGCTATAACCTGACTCCACCTTCCCAAGATGGTGACCGACACCTGCGCTCGTAACCACCTGCGGCGATATTGATCATATAGCGCTAATATTGTTAGCGATGGCAACTGCGATCAATAGATGTTGGCCACTGCGAAAGAATTGCACATGTAAAGAAAGAAGAAATACTTGCGCTTACTACTGCGCTCTACTTTTGCTACACAACAGGACACAAATAAAGAAGTGGGCTTTATGCCATAAACACAATCTACGAAACCTATGACCTTAAACCTACGGGATGGTTTCCTCGCCTCATTAGGGGCCATCGGTGCCTCGAGCCCCTTCACTCGTGCACTGCGCGTTAGCCGGGGTGCGTTCGTCACGTCCGGGCGCGGAGCACAGAGGAGTGAAGGTTCCTGTCTTCCATACCACAGATCCTTGTCCAAGGTGTCCATTCCATGAAGTGCGCTGCGCCCCAAGGGTCGTCCGGGGGACGGACGACGGCGCTCGTAGAACGTCTAGCGAATACCACTGCGTCCATTGTCTTCTGCGCTGGAGTGACAGCTGCGCTCGAGATGGAATCAGATGCGGGACAAAGGACGAGGGACGAAGGACGGCAGTACCATGCACTGCGATGGACAGATGAGGGATGATGATGGGGAACAACCGGGCAGGACGAAGGAAGAGACGACGACTCACGATGACGACGAGGAGACGACTGAACTCGTAGAAACTTCCAGGCCCAAAAGTGGCGTGGGCCAATCCTTCCCTGCGCGTCGACTAGTGCGCGTGAAGACCCAGTGCGGACCCTGACGACTCGGCCCTTTAAGATGGCTTGCGGGCTGACTTGGCGTCGATGTAGAGTGCGAACCGTGACGGCGTACAATATGCGTAGAGGTCGTACGAAAGTCACGACACTGGGGGCGGCAAAACGAGAAAGCCGCACGCGCCACAGGAGCTGGAAAGCACCGCTTACCTACTTATTTACATACACGTTAATCGACGCCTACCAGATTGGGCCTAACGTCGCCATGTGTTTCCCCCAACTCACATGGGTGCGAGGAACCAAGGAATTTTCTTGTCGTAAGGGGTCATATAGGTTCTTAATACAATAACTTCTAGTGAAATGCGATACAACATAACACAACAAATAACTAGTAAAACGGATCACGAAAAAAAAATCTTCTGCGGCTGTAGGATACTGCGTCCTCGACGGCGGCATCAATCCCGGCGAATGCGCTGACGTTGGTTGATGTTGACTTCGAAATCGATGGACGACAGTGCGGTTGTGACGATTGTTGAAAAGTATAGGGCCTACTGAATTTATGAGGGAGCGAAGTTTTGTGCTCCATGGGGTATTTTTGGCGTGAGGGGGAGATTTTCCTCACATTGATGACAAAACTTTCCCCAGGGGTGTTTGAAGAAAGGCACGTAGCTTAATCCCGGGACAGGCTAAAAATGAAAATGCGGTCTCCCACCGCGCGCCCCAAGGGTGCGTCCACTGACGCGTTTTGTAAAGCTTCGACAAAAGTCTACGCACTCCTTTTGAAAAGTACGTGACGAAACTGCGTGGCCTACTTAACACGCCTAAACAAAGATCTGAACTGCGAATTGAGCCGTGGCTCGCCTCGATAGACGGAGCCCCCACGAATGAGGCAACTCCGTCTCGACAGACGAAGCCTCCGGGCAGGCAGGCTGTGACAATTGCGTTAAGTTGCCTTGCCTGAGCAAATGAAAAAAAATAACCTTTGTTAGTAATAGTGATACGAAATGTTACTAAATAAACTAGTGTAATAGCTAACTATTATAAATATGCTAATATAACCACGACTAATAAGACGTAGGGTCTTTGATCAGGTGCGCTTTGCGGGCGTGTGCAGTGTACCGCGCGAAGGATATGTTAAGAAGGTGATGAAAGGGGAAACTTTAAAAAGAGTGTATTGTAAAAATGCCAAATGCGCATAACGAATCCGAAGAGGATTATAAAACCCACTGCGGATGGAATTGATTTGCGAATTTGGGTGAAAAAATTGGTTTTGCGAACCTATAACAACTATGACGTTTTATAGGCAGCGTGGTAAATTTGACTGCGTACATTTGCAAAGAAAGGAAAAATTGCTAGGAAACTGCGCTTACAGACATTGTGCATAGTGGGCATGAAAAAATACGCTTACAGAGGAAAACAACGCTAGCAAGGAAAGCAAGGGAAGAACAAATTTACACAACAATTTCCTAGTACACTGCAACAAAGACGAAATCGCTATCAAAACGCAAACTGGGTACCTGATCAAAGTTGTGTCCGAAGAGAGTACTGGTGGCGAGATATGAATACCGTAGTCGTGGAGATACATTTAGTGACGATAAAATAGATTAGAATACAGAGAACTCGTCGTCCGAGACGAATATGCGAGTGCAAGTGCGCTGAAGAGTGTTCGAAATTGCGATTTGGCGCCGGTGATCGCTACGATGTTATTAGGAGCCGCACATTTGCGTCATTGAAAGCTGCGATGATTGATGACTAAGTGCATAATTTATCGCACTTCAACCTAAACGCTAGTAGGTGAACTTATGCTGAGCGCTAGCAACTCGCGACGATTGCGTCCTTTGCGGAAGGTGTTCTGATGCGCTATCGCGAAACGGTTTTGAATCGCAATTTTGCGTGCTACTCGCTCGGATTTCGAGTGATGGTTAGTATTTGTGAGGGAGTTCGTCTCCATCGTCAACCTTTGCTGGACTTGGTCGTTCTCGTGTTGTTACCTACCGCTGTTGTCGTAGGTAGGGTTAGGAGATGTGCGCTGACTTCTTGATTACGAAGTTATTACGGAGCGCTTTTGTCAAGTTTGCTTTACATGCGCTAATGGTTGACCTGGTTGACTGCTGCGGTAGGGTGGTTACTTCCTAACTCGAACCTGAAATGGGGAAGTGAGAGTATGTAGTGCCGTGAGAAGGCCCTGGCCAGTAGCCTTTCGCGGCAAAGGGTCAATTGCGGATAAGCGAAGCTGGCCTCATGACAGTAATGTGCGATCACAAGAAGCTAGCGTAAGACAAGGACAACAGTTGACGCAACTTGCAACGAGTATGCCACACAATGATGTTGCTGCCGTACTCGTGAAGTATCAACAAAGGCGGTTGCCTGGAACTGCGCGGATGATCTTCGAGGCCACACAGACGCCAACGGACCGAAGATGCTGCCTGGAGTTGAGTGAAGATTCCGTGCGGACTACCCGGACAGCGCATCCATGCTGCTACGGGCCCGGCTACCAGGTCGCACGAGGGCCGCTTCTCCCATCCGGTCCTTAGGGTCTCCCTCCAT